ACGATTATGGAATCCGTGTTGCCTGTCGGGCCCGCAAGGCTAAGACGGTATACAGATCCTGTATTAGGCTTTTGACAAACAGCCCAGAGGGCGAGGTAGGGTCATGCAAGAGGTTAAAAAAAAAAAAAAAAGGATTGGGGTGGGGGGAGGTGGAGAAAGGAATTTTAAAAATCAATGGCAACACTTAAACTGAAATGACTGGAGTGTCTGTCAGAAATGTTAATTTCCTCTAAATATCCCAAAGCTCTTTTTAAAGAGTGGTCTTCCATTTTTCCTTTTGCAATTTAGTAACGTTTTACCTGAAGACGCCCTTCTGTTGCTGAAGGTGGAATGGGAGTTGGGGGTGGATTACCTAGAAGAAGGCAGATAGAAAAATGATCCAAATCATAATTGGAAAGGAGAGGGGATGGGCCTTCAGAAAGACAGAGTCAGCATCAGCGAAGGCTAATCAGAGTAAGAAAGGCAAGCATTCATTTGGGGTGGGAAGGGGATCTGACCTGAGTACTTGTGCATGAACACTAGGCTGCCATGCCTTTTCTCTTCAACTATTACACTTCTTTAGCTGGGTCAAGTTTTAGATTCCTGACTCCTGCCCAGCATTTTTCTGGTGTTTGAAGAGCTCTTCTCTCTCCACCTTGCCTAATGAGTTAAAAAAAAAAAAAAATGAATGAAACCCTAGCCGGTTTGGCTCAGTGGATAGAGCGTTGGCCTGAAGGGTCAACTGTGGACTGAAGGGTCCCCAGTTCAATTCTGGGCAGGGGCACATGCCCAGGTTGTGGACTTGATCCCCAGTAGGGGGGTGCATGAGGCAGCCGATCAATGATTCTCTCTCACCATTGATATTTCTATCTCTCTCTCCCTCTCCCTTCCTGTCTGAAATCAATAAATATGTATTTTTTTAAAAATGAATGAACCAGGGGTTGGGATACTGTGTAGCAGACCCAACTTATTTGCCTTTCCACTGCCTGAAGGATTGCCCCGACTCACCCACCCACAGCAGCAAGAACAGGAAGAGGTTAGGAGAAGCGCACCAGAGTAGGTCCTTGGATAAGAAGACCTTTCCAAAGTGACTGTGGGACTCTGGCCCCTTGGGAGAGGGCCCTGCGAGCTCCCTGTGTGGTTGGCTCTTAGAGACTCAAGGCTGAGCTTGTCTTAGAAGCCCGTCCAGGGCGGAAGCCTCAGAGGCCAGGAGATTCACAGAGTGGTGTAAGGGTGCCTGCGGGCAATAGAACCAGAACACCACTAAGAGAGGAAACAGCATCCATTGGTTTTCTTTGAATTCTCTAAAGGTATCTCTGCTTTCTCTGTGCGTCCCAAATAAGCCGTGGGAAGACAGAGGCTTGGGAACTTAGGATAGGAACTGATGTTCAGATCTACAACTCCTGTTTTGCTTTGTGACAAGAACATCTTCCGAATATAGTGGATCTCCAGTGCTCCACTGTTCTCCCATACAAAGCCAGGGTCTTTGCAGTCAGGAACATTGTCTCTTATTGTGCAAACTCACCTCTGGTTAGGGAACTGCATGCCCCACTGGAGCAGAGCACACTACAATTCGCTCTTAGACAATATACGCACGTGCTCTCTTTGAGCCATAAGCTTAATGGATTCAACCTCATCTCTAGCTTCCTCTAAAGAGGAAGGAAGATAGAAAGGAAGCAAGGGAGGGCGTGGGGGGAGGGAAGAGAGGAAGGAAAAAAAGAAGGTAAAAGAGAAGGACGGAAGACACTCTGCTTGATCAATGTATGTGACTATGTCTTAAGGAAATATTTTTGTTTGAAAATGCCCAAAAAAGTACAATCCTTAACTACTCCACTTTACTTAGTATTAGGCCATTTTGTGGGAAACATCTATTCAGGCTACATATAAACAAATAAATCTATTTGGAGAAGAAAATGATAAGGAGGAGGGGGAGAAATATACGTTTACTAAAACTAGGGACCAGCACTTGTTTGCTGGTAATTGTCCACCAGCCTCAAACATGCAGTGGGTAACAGACCCTTTCAGTGCAGACGTTTCAGATTGGATAAAAACTGGGGTTTGTACGGGATCAGCCTAGAAGCTCAAGAAGGGACCTGAGCTTCCCACACCAGCGGCTGAGCTGTAGGAAACAATCCAGAAACTCTCTTCTCTAGCTCTGGATCATAACCAAAGCAGTAATGATAGATACAAAGACTTCTCTGCAGTTTCCTAAGCCAAGCTCGGTAGGACAATCCCTCCTGAGTGTGGCGCCTGGGACCCAAAGGAGAAACAGACGCTCTGGGTGTGAGGGGAGACCCTCTCCAGGGTGCGGGGCTGGCAGGGTCACTCCCTTTTACGAGCTATCTCGAGTGGGCGGGCGCCTTTCTGGCCTGGGGCTTAGGCTGGGAAGCTCACTGCGGGTTTCCCCGAGGGAGGGAGCCCCAGGCGATTGTCACCAGTCTCCCATTCGCCTAGGCCAGTTAATTCAATTACTCTGCCCGCTGGAGAATGTGTGGCCAATCGCGCTCCGAAAGGGGCAAAGCAGAGAAAGAGAAATTAGCCTTTGGGCCAAGCAGGATGGCACTTATTAATTGCTCTGGACTATTAATTGGATGGGAAGGGGAGACGGTGGGGGGGACTGTCTGTCAGAAACAAATCCCGTGCGCGCAAGCACAACGCGCACACACACAGACACCCAAGCACACCACACACCTGCTTCCATGAGTTTCTTTAGAGAAGGGGCGCGCTGAGCAACCCTAGAGCAGATGGAAGGGAGTGCTGACCAGTATGTGCATATGGCGCGGATGCTTTCCCCAACTTCTCTTTCAGGGACAAACAGATTTTTCTGTTGTTGCTGTTGGGATGAGGCGAGAGGGAGCAGTTGGCCAAATGGAGTTTCCTTACAGTTCAGCCTCTGGTGTGGGAAGCCGGGACACCAGGGTGGGAACAGAAGAGCTTTCCAAAAGGAGACGTGGTGCCCTGGCAAAGTAGATCCCTACATTTCAAAAGATGCACTTTACCCTCCCTGCTTCACCTCCTCTAAATACAAGTTTTTCTCCTTGAAAAGTTAAAGGCAGCTCTGGATGCCTCTTATCTTGGTACCTAGAAGTGACTCGGGAAAACAGGGTTGAACTAGGCAGTGGAATGGAGAGATAGGATTGCCAGTTCTTTGGTGATGTCCTGAGGTATGCAGAGGAGACAACCAGAGGTCATTCGGTGGCTATACTCAGCGCCAGGCCCGAGCTCATTACCGAGAGTATCAGAAGCTCAGGGACTGCGTGTGCCTGTCCTCCTGGACAGGGAGAAATACCGGGCCAAATGCGCGGGGACTGCAGACAGAGCAGGCGGTCACGACGTCCTGAGCCTCCCGGTCCTTCCCAGGGGAGAGGATTTTGCGGCTGCCTCCTGGACCTTAGCCGAGGAAAAAAGGTCCCTTTGCCTTCAATGAAGATGTATCTGACAGCAGGGGAGTTGGGGGAGGGGTCATCCTTTTCCATTTGAGTTGGACTAACTGGGAAACCAATATCATCCACCCAAAAAAGCGCGTCTGGCAATTCCCAGGATAACCTGCGGGCCCCACACAGTCTTCTGCGGGAGGTTTGTTTCTTCAAGGGGCCGGGGGTTCTGGATAAAGTCAGTGGGGAAGGGGGGGGAACCCCAGCTCCCACAGATGATATTTATGAGTAGAATATAGAGGCCTCACCCAATCCTGGCAAACAAAAGATTTCGCTGCAAGCATTTTGGGATTTAGCCCCTCAGTGCCAACTGCACTCATCCTACCCCTCCCACTTAAAGATCAAGTTAGGCATTCTTCCTTTTCATCTTCATCGGGCTCTCTGTCTCCTGACTTCATTCGACCAAAATATGGAATTTCAAGAAGTTGGGGGTGGGGGCGCGTGCGCACCTTGGAAAAGGAGAGCAAGTGTTGGCTGCTGACCCTTGTGCAGGGCCGAAGCATCACGGATCTCCACTTCAGACAGTGCATTTCAATTCTTGTCGTGTGCCTTTGTCCATTTATATAAAGCAGAGAGTGCTGAGTGACAGCCCCACTTAGCCTGCATGAGCAGATCCTAATAAACCCTCCCAAACCCCGACCTTAAAAAAAAAAAAGAAAAGAAAAGAAAAAGAAAACCACATGCCTGTTTGCCTGCGGCTTATGATTAAGACACCTTCTCAGCTTAAACACTTAAAAGCTAACCAAATGAAATGGCAATTAAGACTAAATTACCCCTTCTATCTCTGAGATGACTCTGCGGGGCCAGCCAGTTCTTATGAGGCAGAGGAGTCTGGAGAGAGGACCTTGCACAGCCTCAGTATTGCCGGCATGTAGCCACTGATACCCCCTCCAGGCGCTAGACAACTTGGAGCAAGAAGCCACATTTTGAATGAAATAAAGCTCAAATACTTCTTGAAGGTCGAGAAACCCACGGCAGAGCTAGAGACAGTTGTGTGCTCCCCCCTCTTTGTAAAATATAACTTTCAAACATTTAAGGGTTATTTGGGGTAATGGTGTTCAAATACCTGGTGCCCCTGCTCCATGGCCCACCCCGATCCTCACCCAGCAATGTTTCCGAAAGGGAAGGGACACACAAAAGAGGGGGAAAGTGGGTAGAGTTAGGGTTTGAAAGACATTTTACCTACATGTGAAATCTTGTCACAAGTCTTTATTCTCTTGTATTTTTCCTAAATATATTGCCAATTACAATGTTTCTTTATGGTGGGAATGTGGGATTGTCCATCATGGTTATTTATTTTAAAAGCTGCAGAAAGTGTAAGCCACCGCCGGGTGTTTCCTTCCAAAAGAGGAGAAAGAACCCAAATTCGATATAAATATGGGAAGAGCAGTATTGTTTCCACTTGTGTAAAAGCAGAAACCCCAATCTGGATGAAATTGATTCGGGTGCTTGTTGCAAAAAAACCAGCTTTCAGCATCCAGGGAGTGGAACCAATAGGAATGAACACTTACTCGTGTAAAAGGAAGCTTTAATTAATATATGTTTCTATCTCTAATATACACGTATGGGGGCTAGATCTTTATCTTCACAATAAAATGTGTGCAAATTCTCTCTTCAGAGATGAGTCCCCACCTCAGCCGGTATAGAAAAGCATGATAAAGGTTGGAAAAAATGGATAAAAATGTTGAAAGAACCTCCAGTTCCTTATTAGGCGAAGATACAATATTTATTCCTTGTCTCCTGGGATAAATCTCTTCTGCCTATTGTCCTCCCAGTTCTCAGTGCTGATGCTTAATTTTCAAAACTTCTATATTACCAAGGGACCTACGACATCAGCCAAAGAAATACTCAGCAAGTACAAAATCTGTTCCAGGGAGCTGCTTTTGTGCAGAGGGAAAAATTTGTTCCTACAGGTTTTTAAGTGGGTACGAGGCAAGGAGCTATCTGATCCGGGCAAAGCCATTACAATTTAGATCTCTATCTATAGAACATTTTTTTTCCTTTAAAAAAAATTGAAAAATACAAGAAGTTTGGATTTTTTTTTCCGATTCTTTTTTTGGAGGGGGAAATTGCATCGTAAGCTTTCGGAGAAACCCAACATGTCAACTACCTTTCCGGGACTAGTCCACGATGCCGAGGTATTATTACTTTTTTTTTTTTTTGAGCGCGCGTGTGTGTGTGGCGGCAGTGGCGGCGCGGCGGTGGCAGCTTCCCCTGTCTCTAATCTATGTTGGACCGTTACGTTTAATTATAATCTGGCTTTCGGGAGAAGTTAAGGAAGGAAAGGGGAGAAAGTTCGTTATGACATCTGTCGCCAGGAAGGGCAACTGTGCCACGCTAAGAAATAGTTGTCATAATGAGGGGGACAACATAATCCTAATAATAAAGAAAGGGAGGAGGTGGTGTGGAGAAAGAGATAGACATGGAAAGAAGATACTCAGGAAGGCAAAGTAAAGAGATTGATGGGGGGAGACGGTAGGTGGACAAGGGGGGGTGGTGCAGTGCGCCCCTTTTGGAATGGGCTTATTCTAAGAAAGTGAAGCAGAAAGGGGGTTCGGATGCTTTGCCCCAACTGGTTACGGAAATGAGCAAGGGGAACGATGGGCACCGACTAGAATTTTTTAAATACACGGACGATGCTTTGGAACAGCTCTGGCCAGACATTCCGGCCTGGACCGCGGCGGGATCTCGGGGTTGGGATGCGGCCGGAGGGCAGAGGCGCTCTGAGCCGGCGGACGCTCATTCTGCTCCCCTGGCTCCCCGAGCCAGTGGCAAACCTGGCTCCGCAGCCCAGCTCCCTGCGCGAGTGGGGCAGGGGCTGTGTGTGTGTGTGTGTGTGTGTGTGTGTGGTGTCACCGCACCTATATAGGGTGGGGGATTTTTTTTCCCCTCTCTTGACTGTGAGGACGGGGCCGCCCACCCCCAGTCCGCCTGCTCGCAAAGGCTTCCTGGCAAAGGCGCTGAACCCGGGCGGCGGCGGCTCGGGCCGAGCCGTGCGCGCTCACTCTCCTTGGAGAGCCCGGGAACGCTCCTGGCTCCGGGAGAGCGGCGCCTCGGTGGCACAATGACAAACCTCAAGTTTTTCTGCTCTCCCTTTTCCCCCTCTTCCTTCCAGATACGTCACGACGGATCAAACAGCTACCGTTTGATGCAGCTTGGCTGTCTGGAGTCCGTAGCCAATTCCACTGTCGCCTATTCCTCCTCCTCTCCTTTAACTTACTCCACCACTGGCACCGAGTTCGCGTCCCCCTACTTCTCCACTAACCACCAGTACACCCCGCTCCACCACCAGTCCTTCCATTACGAATTTCAGCACAGCCACCCGGCCGTCACCCCCGACGCCTACTCTCTGAACTCGCTCCACCATTCGCAACAGTACTACCAGCAGCTCCACCACGGGGAGCCCACCGACTTCATTAACCTGCACAATGCGCGGGCGCTCAAGTCGTCCTGCCTGGACGAGCAGAGGCGGGAGCTGGGCTGCCTCGATGCCTACCGCCGCCACGACCTGTCCCTCATGAGTCATGGCTCTCAGTATGGAATGCACCCAGATCAAAGACTGCTGCCAGGGCCCAGCCTGGGGCTGGCCGCCGCGGGAGCCGACGACTTGCAGGTAAATAAGCATGCAGTGGATTTGCCTGGCCCTCCCCTCTTCGCCCTCCCCCTCCCGCCCAGTCGATGCTCCGACTGTAAGCGGGCTCTCCAACTCTCTCTCTCTCTCTCTCTCTCTCTCTCTCTCTCTCTCTCACACACACACACACACACACACACACACACACACACACACACAGCACTTATGGAAAGTTATCAAAACAATTAGAGGAGGCGTGTGCCATTCGGGTCCCCTCTTTGGATCAAGGCATTTCACCTGCACGCTCCGGAGTCCGGCTAGCGGCGGCCCCCACTTTCCGTAGGTCCGCACGGAAGTCTTTTGTGAATCCACAGTTCTGCCCCTGAGGGGATGGGACAGGGGAGATCTGGGAGGCTGGGGTTGAGACTCCTGGACTTAGAGTAAGACCCGATAAGTTGATGACCCATCCTAACCTCAGTCTGGCGCTTTGCTGGGTCTCAGGTGTTTGTCCCGGACTGAGCTGTGGGGAGCTTACTATGAATTGGGGGAGCTGGTTTGTTCTGGAGACATTGTTGGGACCCTGAGCTCTAGCAGAAATTTCACCAAAGATACTAGATTAATGTGGAGAGCAAAGAATCACAAATGAAAAACTCAAAAGTGTACCCCAATGAAAGAATCTGCACAAGGCAGTTCGCCGGGGTGTGGGGTTGAGCCTAATTTCTTTGCCTGAGGCCCACCCAATCCCATCACCCCTTTGGTTTACAACTTTATTTTTCTTCTCCAACCCATTAACTTACGTAAGACGCAACTCCTTAAGAAGAAGGAAATGAAGAAATAAAGAGAGAGAAAGAGAGAAAAGACATAGGGAGAAAGAAAGGAGGAAAGGAAGGGAGAGAGGAAAAACAAAAAGGAGAGAGAGGGAGGGAGGAAGGAAGAAAGGAAGGGAGGGAGGGGGTGAGAAAGGAAGGAAATCAGATACTGTGGAGGCCGTCACTCAATTAGATATCTCCTACTTTCTTAATGCATTTTTTGCGTATTCTTTCCAACAATAGAATTTATAATTATATAGATATATCGTCACAGCCTCGTTTCAAACAAATAAGCCCACGCATGTCCAAAAAAGAACCCAGGAAACATGAATTTGTAACTTCTTTTGCCTGAAGGTGCAGCTAGTTCTATCTGTGAGTCCCTACTTTTTCAGTCTGCACAACGCTGGCCACCTTTTCCACAGTCGCCACAATGCAAGGCGAGATACTGGAAGAGCCCAAGTTGGAGACGGCAGAGAACCCTTGTTGCGCACAGAAAATCTTTCCCCCTCATTTACCTCCAAGCAAAAGATCATTTTAAAATTAAAGTGAAAGCCCTTACAATCCCAACAAAGAGCCATAGCCACAAGATCGGCACACAAGAAAAAAGATTTGGCTTCATAAACCTTGACTCTCTACATTTGTATTCACAAAATAATTTTATACACTCAGGGCATTTTTACATTTTTCACAAGGATCCCCTTATGTCTCAAGGGGGAAAGAAATCTGCCATTCAATGCTTTGCTCAACTAAAACCTATTTACTCTTTTTAATAGCCACGTCTGCTGCTGATTTTTTTGTATCTGTACAAATTTTTTTTCTGTGCTAGGCACAAAGCCGGGCATTTTTCAAAAGAGAGGATTAGAACATTTGCAAGCACCAGACAAAGAAAGAATCCCGTGCAAAAGGACACCGTAGTTTATCCAATTTTCGACTTAGTGCCATTCAACTGGTCATTTATGCAATGTCATCTGACCAAACAACGTTTTACTTATGGGGGGGGGGGGGAGTTTGTTAAGTGTAGAGACCAAGATTCGTTTCTTCTAAGAAAATAAACATCTTAGCGGTACGCCAGAGAATGGGAGAGAAAGGCTTCACTCCCATGGAGAGCTTTGTGGCCTTTTACCTTCCTCACTTCAGATATTTTGAAGCTTTTTTTCCCAGCCTATGTGGTTTTTTTTAATTATCTTTAATCTTCTTTTTTCCATTTATTACTCCTACTGAGGGAATATTCATACTGAGAGAAAAGCTCCCAGATATTAGAAGAAATTTAGGAGTGTGGTATACGATCTATTTATATATCTATGCCTATAGATAAACATATATATCATTTTATATATGAGTACATATGAAGCAAGTTGTAAATCTGGCAAGCCATTTTTTTTCTGCTCCTCCTGGACTTAGCAGAATGAAAAAGAAAGAAAAAAGTCATAGCTACTTTTGAAACGAGAACTGGGGAGGGGATGTGTGGGAGAAACCCCGTCTCTCTCCTTTTATTTCTTTCTTTTTAAAACATTCATCAGCATATGCCTCATTTCAAATGCAACAAATGTAAATATACTTTTCCCTGCACAGAATTTTAAGTGAAAGTCCAATGGTTTGGAGGGCGGTCTAAGTCTGCCTAACAGATGCAAACAGTCTTGTGGCTTCAGTTCCATCTTTGAGTCCCCTAAAAAGATTTGCTATGGCCAACAAAGGGAACTGTCACACCTTTTCCCATCACTGCTTTAATTTATGCCCAGTTTCCAAGGTTGTTTTTTTTCATATTGATTTGATAATCACTTTAAGGCAGAACAGTTCAAATAAGAAAGAGCTCGTGAACTGGTTGAAAAGGGGGCTCTTACAGGCCTGCCTCAATATGGTGAAAATGGGGAAGCGAAAGGGAGCCAGGGCTGTAAAGGTTGTTTTGTAAAGTGGGTTTTTATTATGCACCGACTCTCTCCGCATTTACTTAACTCTTCACGGGCTGTTGGGTAGGTTAACACCCTTCAAGGCCTCTTTCATGTCCAAAACCTCGTTTGTTTGTAAAGGAAAATGAGCCTTTAACACATTTGGACTCAGGGAGGGGGAGGAAGACACATAGAGAGAAATTTTTATTTTTCTTAATCAAAAATCAGCAAACCCTTACCTCCTTCCCAGTTCAAATGACCCCCAAATCCATTAGGCTCCTGAAGATCTACAGTGAGTGAACCTGAAGGTGTTTCCTCTAGAAGACCCATTTTGGGTAGCATTATAGGATGCTCCTCCAACTGGAGTAAAGCAGAACTTTCATTAGATAACTTAAATCCCCCACTTGAAATGACTCCTCTGAGCTCCCAAGAAACCCACAGTGCCAACCTTGACACATTTGGTGTAATTTGCTTCATGCAGAAACTGCCATGGAGACTGTATATGTGCCTTGATGGGGACTCAAAAGGTTTCTCATTCTCTTATGCCAAGATGAAAGGCACTCAGGCCCTTTGAAGTGTAATATTTCCTGGTGCTGTAAAATGCATACCTTAAGATTTATACAACTTTTAGATTGTGGTTTTCTGGCAAATTTTTCCCCCTTATTATGCATGCTGCCAAACTTGCTCTAGCTCAATGGTTGCGTTAAATGTCTACTATCAGGTTATGTGGATATGAGGTTCAGGGACAGGACAGATTGAAAAACTTAACTCATAAGGTCATACTTATTAATATCTATTTGAGTGATTTTATGTATTTTCCTTTTATTAAGGGCTCCGTGGAAGCCCAGTGTGGGCTTGTTCTCAATGGCCAAGGTGGAGTCATAAGAAGAGGTAAGTAAGGACATGTTAAAGCATTCTTTTCTTATCTATTATGTTGTTTTGAAGATCTGGTGGTGCTTTTAAACATCAGATCCCTTGTCTGATGATTGAGAAAACAATGACTCTTAGTCAATTACTCTTGTCCCACACAGACATACCCACTTAAAGAAGCCTCCCTTCCTCCACGGAGGCCTGAACTTAACCTGTGCCCCTAAGACCTCTGATAGAAGAGATTGGCTGTTTCTCACAGAAAAGTGACAGAATCAAAGTTCAAGACCAAAAAAAAATCCTTCTCACACCTCCTTCCCCCATCACCACATCCTGGAGCAGAATTTCTGGTCTTTTTTAGTCCTAAATGTGCCAGCCACAGCCTGGGTATTTGAGGTGATGGTGTTAGCTTGAGGCTTTGAAGGATTCTGTGAAAGGCTGGATTCGTTGAGGCTGCAGTGAAGGCTAATGAAACACCAACGTTGTAGCTGCCCTTATTTTTCTAAGTGTCCTGAACATTTCTTTCTTTAAGGGAGGGTGGGAGGAGGAGGTGGTGTTAACCGCACCGGATAAAGCTTTCTTGTTCCCATCTGTTGAAGAAAACATCTGAATCCAGAGTTACCCATGGAATTGGAAGGGGGGACAAGAGTAGAAAGCTGTTGATTTCAGCTCAGACACTGAAGGGGGCTGCATCTCAGATGTTCCATTTTGACAAAAGGTTCTGAACTATGACATTTTAAAGGCCTCGAGGCAGTGCAGATTTTGCTGGCTTCCCACTTAACTGTGTCCAGTGCCTCTGAAGCTTATTTTCCTAGCAAGCTGAGTAACCCGAGGAGCATACAAGGCAAGGGGGACCAGCTGTTATCCCAACTTCATACGAATTAATAAGATGTGGCCTATTCACCAGGACTAATTCCTGCTCCAGGGCTGCAGTTGTCTTTAGTAGCTGAACCACTAAACACTGAGTCACTTCTGATGGCACCAAGTAAATGTCCTTCAGTCACTCTCCCTCTCTTTCAAAGCTCATTTAAAGATTCCAAAAACAAAGAGAGAGAGAGAGAGAGAGAGAGAGAGATGTATTGATAGACAGCAGTAGGTTCTTTCATGTTTAAACTGCAGGTTTTGCAACCCAATGTCCAGTGTGAAACTCCATTTAAACTGAGGAGGCAAAAAACAGTGGTTTCCTTTGGGAACTTGAATATTGTCATAGTGGAAGCTTGAAACTTCCATTAAATGTAAAATAGCTCTTTAATTGTGTTGTTTCACCCAATGGGTATTTGAGAAGTTTTGTTTTTTAATTACTAGTGTTGCTCCATAAATATCTTTTTTTAAAATGAGCAATATTAAACCTGTCAGCCAGGCCAATACTGTCATATTGACATGCCATGAAATAGGCCTAAGACTAGTGAAAATTGAGAAAAAATATACATCCTGTTGGGAAGAAGGGTTAAAAATGCAGAGTGAAAGAAGGGCCAGGTGAAAGGAGCTGGTTGCAGTCTGTTGGGGCGGTCACACCAAAGGTGAGGCCAAGCACTCCGGACGCACGAAGATGTCGGTGGTGCTGAAGGACAGCGCCCCTAATTAGCGCCCGGAGCCGGCTCCTCCCAGAGCCCAGCTGGCGCTACTGCGGTTTTGAGTTCAGCTTGATCACCCTCTCAATTGCTTGGAAATTGCGTCAAATTGTACAATACCTGACAGAGGGTGGGAGTTATTCGAGGTCGAAGGTGGGAGCTAGATAGGAGATGGCTGTGTAATCAGTTGAATTTTCGGAGAGAGTCGTAGGGGACACCCCCACGCCCTCCTCCCCCAAAAGACCAACGCTCTTGGGTAACTACAAGGTCAGAGGGAGCTGCGGTCCTGTCCTATCAGAGCCACAGAAATGGTCTTCCTTGGGTGATGTTTTCGTATTCTTCTAGGATCCGGTGCCAACTCACTTCACCTAACATATCAGCCCCGAATCTGCTATTTTAAGTCTAATGTTGATCTTTTAGGAGCACAGCCTGGCTCCAAAGAAAAAGGGGAGGTAACTTGGGGGTTTTGTTTGTATTGTGTGACTAACTCCCTCTGTCTTCCCCCGCCCTGCAAAAGGAGATCAGAATTTAACTGCTGAGTTTATTCATTTCCTATGTGTCTTAAAGATAGGCCAATTAACTTGGGATAGCCCTGGAGACCAGGGTGTGCTGTCTGTTTACTCTGAACAGATCAATGTGCATGACAATTTACAAACGGATAGCAAGGGTATCAAGGAAGTCTTGCATTAAAAGGTGGTGTAGATCCTTCCGGAGCACGCCCAGCGCATCATATCAGGACTCCCAGTTTTTGAAGAAAAGCTAAGGAAGCCTCTTGTCTCTATTGTCACAGTAGTGCACAGGGTTCCTAATATCAACAGCTCTAGTCACCTTTGTTCTTCATGAACTCATGCTCTCTGCCATGTCGCCTTATTGTGTAATAGCTTATATGGGAATGCCTGTTTCTCTTCTAATCCATGCCTTACAGGTAACTCTCCCCATGAAACACCATTTCTTGAAAAGCACAACTTTTCACCATTTTCCTTCTCCTGCTAAGCTCTCAGATAAACTTACATTTCTAATGATTTCTAGAATTTACTGTGGGAGGAAAAAAAAATTGGATTTGACTTCCAAAGACCCCTGAAGAAAGGCAGATCCCTAAATGCCCTACAGGAGTTCTCCATGGAGAGGTATCCTGTTTTGCAGTGGTGTGTGTGTGTTGGTGCGGGGAGGGAGTTACAGTTAAAATTTGGCCACTTCTATAGGGAAAGATCAAAATACCATTTTCCTGACTCACTTTGGTAAGTGGCAGTTACGTTGTGTTTGCCTATAATGAAGGCCCCATCGCCAAAGAAAGTGCGGAAGAGGGGGCAGCAGCAAGGTAATTACCACCTAGATAAAATATTTGCCACCGCCTCTGAGGTGCAGCTCCCCGCGCGCTCACTCTCGGTTAATGGTGTGCGCGATTTTGCCCGCAGCTCCGCCACTCGAACCATCAGAACCAATAATCTTTACTTTACCCAGTCCTCGGGTATCGATAGCTTCTCTCGCCTCCGGGCGTCGGCTTTGATATGTTAATATTTCTGAGTAGCAAATTCTGCAGAGATCATATTAATGTTGTACGTACAGAGTGGAGCTTTGCCTTCGTTGAATATTCAGATACTGGATTTCAAAAGGCATCTCTTGAAGAAATGAGGCTTCTATTTACAGGAGTCGTCTGTGTTTTTAATCATTAAAAAAAAAAGAAAGGAAAACCCACTCTTCTTTTCCCCAGGAATCTTCTGAGACTCCCTTATGGCCCCCTCCCCTTTGGCAGGCGCTGGCCCCTTTCATTTCTCGCCCTGAGAATTTAATAATAAGAGAACAATGTTGATGACAATGAGGACCACGGTGATGATGAAGCTAATAATGAGGGGACCCAGATTGGAATCGCAGGGGTAGGGGCTCCGTTGGGCTGGGCGCTGTGGCCTTCAGAGCAGGATGGAGGTGAAATGAGAAAACCCAGTTTTTCCATATTTGGGTGGGAAGTGTCATGTTGGCCCTGGCCTTTTTGTGTGAAATCGGGATGGCAAACTCAAAAAAGGAAAAGAAAAAAAAAGAAAAAAGTGAAGAGGGGAAGCGCCCTTGTTTCGCTTTGTGATCACTCTGCCTTGCTGCCCCAGGCTAATTTCAGAAGCTTAAGTACCGCCATAGCCTCTGGGCCACGCGGAGAGGGAGCGGCCGGCCGTGGGCAGGCAGGAGCGCTTTCCGGATTGCCTGTGGCTACACAAAATACAAACTACTTTGAATCAAAACATTTTTGGGGAATTAATATGATCTGAACTCTGCACGTTTTAAGAGCGCCGGAGTTTGTCAGATCGCTTAGAGGTGACTGGCACGCCAGGCAGAGGCATTTAGGCTGCGGCACAAACATTGTCAGATCCGATTTAATAAAAAAAAAAATACTTCGGTGAAACGGAGCTTAGCATCCATCGCCCATTCTGCCCATAACAGGGTGGGTGGATCTGACCGCTTTTCCCTTCCGAAGCCCCCACGGCTGCCCCCGGGCTTCTGGGCCAGGAGGACCAGCTTTCTCCCGACTTCTCCAGGCCCCCGAACTTTGAGTCAGCCTTTGGGTCTTTCAGCATTTCCTGGAAGGAGTAAGATTGGAGGAGGGTGGGGAGACTTGTGCCTCTTCTTTTGTCAGAGCTTATGGACTCTCTCTACCTCAATCCTCAAAACTCATTTCTGTGGCTTATCTATTGTGAAAATAAGGCCAGGAAAACACCTGGAGCCTCGCCTGGCTCATTAGTCCCCACATACAGATTCCGAATTCAGACACCTTTCCGTGAAGTCTAAAATTCAGATACCAAAAGACCTGGACGCGTGGTTTGTTGGAAATCTATTTTGCGGGAATGGGGGGGGGGGAGCTGCTTTTCCAAAGCCTAATGCCTTCTCCCCAATTTCCTTATTGCTTTGAAAATCACCAAAAGCCAAAGCACTCTATCTTTGGAAAATGGGGATTAACACCCCCCCCCCCCCCCCGACACACACACACATGATTACACACCCACCGCCACATTAAACTAGTAGGTCTCCTCTGGCAGGCCTCCCTTTCTTTTGTTCTGTCTGGAACCTTCGCCGGGAGGAGTGCTTTAAAACCTGGGAATCCAGTTATACCTGGCATCTCCTCCCCCAAACAGCGCACTTTGCTGCTCAAATATCAGCTGAGGCCTATTTGATTACAATGAAGCCCCTATCCCTTTGTTATTTGATTACAATTAGTATCTGCTTCCAAGGACTGAGTGT